CTTTTCTTCAGGCTAGACAGGCCCAAGTCTCTCAGCCTGTCTCTACAGGAGAAGTGCTCCAGACCTCAGAGCATCTACATGGCCCTTCTCTGGACCAGTACCGGTTGCCTGGTACTTCCCTGGATCTGTATGCAATCAATCTTTCTGGCCAGATCAAATCTGCCACTTGTTCACAACCATTTTTGAGTTGTGTTAATTCAGTGTTAATGGCAGTAATGCAGCCAACATAGAAGGGATGATCCAAACCACCACCCACGTGAAATACAAATAGATGTAATTTACTTGTTTAATCAATTCCAAAAAAAAAACCCGAACAAAACAACACTCATTTTTAGTCAACTCATTGCAACAGGTATCACCGTATTGTCAAGACCTTGTATTTAAGGGCCTAAGGTTACAAAAGTTGTTAACAAAATGTAAGTTGTATTTCTCCTCAGTTTAAACATTGCTTTACCTGTTCCAGGAACAGTTACAGCTGCCAATGCCAGTACTTTGAATGATGGAGCAGCTGCTTTGGTGCTGATGACTACAGAGGCAGCCAAGAGACTGAACGTCAAACCACTGGCACGGGTAGTAGGTAAGAGGTAACTTTTCCTGTCTCTGAGAACAGTCCTGGAAACAACTCCCATAGTTTACTATCGGACTGGGAGTCCTGCTCAGGTGGTTACCTGATGTCCCTGCACCACAACAGGTGAGCCCTTGGGCATGATGGCCGCATCTTCTCGGTACAGCCCTGGCAATCTCAACTGTTGTGCCAGCAGCTGTTGACCATAAACAGAATTTTCTGTATGGAATAACATTAAAAATCTGAAAACATTATTATGTGGCTCACTTAAGGCACTAAACTTCAGCTGTATCTATTTTTGGGGCCATTCAATTCAGAATTTTTCTATCTTAGCTGGGTTTGCTGCTTGCACGAGTAAAAATCATGTGTGGTAAAAACCAAAGGTTTTGAAACAGCTTTTGCCATTTTTCCAGCTTTTGCAGATGCTGCTGTTGATCCTATTGACTTCCCCATTGCGCCTGCGTATGCAGTTCCCAAGGTAGGAATAAAACTGAGGGGTTTCTGAAACCCAGCAGACTTCCTTAGCACTGATCCTTGGCTCATGTGGATCTTCCTCTAATTAGGACTGAAATTATTACAACATAAATACACAGAATACCTTCTTCAGAGGCTCACTTTATCACTCGCTACAGCTACCTGAAAGTACGTTGTAGGGAGGTGGGGGTCAGTCTTTTCTCCCAAGTAACAAGTGCTAGGACAACAGGAAATGGCCTCAAGCTGCACCAGAGGAGGTTTAAACTGGGTATTAGAAAACATTTCTTCCCCAAAGGGTGCTCAGGTGTTGGAACAGGCTGCCCAGGGCAGTGGTGGAATCACCGTCCCTGGAAGTGTTCACAAATGGTGTAGATGCCCTCAGTGACATGGTTTAGTGGTGGACTTGGCAGTCCTTGGGTAGCAGCTGGACTCGATCTTAAAGGTCTTTTCCAGGTACTCTGGATTCTATGATTCTCTCATTGATTGGTTGATTCTTGATTCTATGGTTCTGTGATTGTTTTATAGTACTTTCACCAACTTTGGGCTTATTTCATACTTTTGAAGCTTTGCAGCTACTGTGGCTAAAAAGACAAAATGAACAGTTACTCAAGTGCAGCCAAGTTCAAAAATGAACTGAAGACAAGCGTGTGGTCTGAGGCAACACTGCACCAGTTTAGATGCACTTTCTGTACCAGTGGTCTTGGTCTCTGTGTGATGAAAGCATTCTGAGCATAAGGTACTCCCCACTTCTTTTGTGAAAGCTCAAGTTTGTGCTTCAGTCTCCCAGTTTTGCTTTTTCTGGCAAAGAGGTTCCAAAATGTGAACATGAATCAGACTATGGGCAGCCTGAGTCACCCACTTCAAAACTGACCTAGTTACTTCTGTAATTACCTTCCCAATCTTTTAATCAGAGTAATTATTTCTGTTGTTATTTCTAGATTCTGAGTGAGACAGGCCTGAAAAAGGAAGACATTGCAATGTGGGAAATCAACGAAGCATTCAGTGTTGTGGTGCTGGCCAATATTAAAATGCTGGGTATTGATCCACAAAAAGTAAACATGAATGGAGGTGCTGTCTCTCTTGGACATCCTATAGGGTAAGCAGAAGAGCACTGGCTGTTTTTCCACACAGAGGCACTGTTTTCTAGCCATACTGCTGACACACCTTCATTTTCAAGTGTAATGGAAGCAGGAAGGGAAACAGAAATTGGCTGTCAAGTATGTAGTGACTTAACTCAGGCATTGAGTTTCAAAGTACCTTGAAAAGAACAGAAGCCTATTTTTCCCTTCACCGTTTGTTATAACCTACTTTTACAAGGAGCTTGCTTGTTACCACAGCTGTGTTGATTTATGAAGTATTAAAACTAAATCACCATTAACATGAATGAAAATGAACCATCAAGTAGTTAATCAAATTTACATGGTAAACTTATGAAAATAGTGAAGGATACGGGCACAGGGACTTGTATTTTTCTTACCTGAGCACAGTGAAATTCCAGGTCTTGCCAAAGTATTTTTGGCAGTGCTCCAAGCACCTGGGGCAGCAGACAGGGTGGTCTGGGGGATGGTGGTGGGTCATTTGAGGTTGCGTCCTCTGGTTAGAGGAGTCACATCACCTGCTGTCTCCTCAGCAGTTGTAACTTTTGACTTTATCCCATTAGTTCTCCTAAGAGTGATCATGCTCCAGTGTCGAGGCCTGTAAGGAAACCTCTAACTAAATATAGGTATGAAGTAACTGTTATACATCAGGAACAAGCAGGAGTACTTCATGGTTCATAAAATGCTCTGGCCACAGCCTAATCCCGCAAGACATAATGACACCTCTGCAATATCAGTTTCTGAGAGAGGAATATGTTTTTGGGTTTTTTTTTGTCTTAAAAGCTAATTTTGTCAGTCTAATGACACAATTTAAATATCTGATTTTGCACATTAAGAGGATCAAAGTAGGGTGCTGCAGTGTATCAAGCGAGTAAGAAACTGATGTTCATTATTACTATTGATTGGTTTTTGTGGTACATTCATTACCTTCCTTGAATGAGCCTTGCTACCTGTAGAGCTCCTTTCATAACATATGGTGGTTTCCTTTTCCAGACCATACTTTAGATAAACACAGTTTTTATTTGTGTGTATGTAACAGTCTTTCTGATACAGCTTGAGAAAAATAACCTCTATTGCATCTGAATGGAGGTGAAAGGGGTTTTGTGTATTTTTTTCTCCTCCAGTGCATCACTTCTATGTTCTGCCAACTGTCCTGCAGGGGTCAAATTAAGAATTTCCTTTAAATTAAGCTATATGCATTTTTTTTTCTTTTATTTAGAATGTCTGGAGCCAGAATCGTTGTTCACATGGCCCATGCACTGAAACAAGGACAATATGGCCTTGCGGGAATTTGCAATGGTGGAGGAGGTGCTTCTGCAATTCTGATACAGAAGCTTTAGGCACAACCAGTGTCAGAAACAAAGCTGTAAATGCTCTCGGATCAAAGCATGAATGGTACCTGTTACATCTTATTCATAAATAAGTGGATGAATTCCATAACTGCTACTCTAAAAATTTCTTAAGCTATCATTCATACAGATGACTGAGCTTTTACACTGAGCTAAAGCAGTAAGTTTTTATACAGGCAAAAAAATGCCCAATTATGATAATGTTTTGAGACCTGACAATAAAGAATGTTTGTTAACTGTGGCTCCCTGTCACTGATGTATGGTTTCTCAAGTGCCACTGAAAAGGAATGCTCTTGGTAACTCAGTTTGTGCTGTTACTGCTTTTTTGCAGTTTTGTTGCTTGATTTTCTTAACTACTGAGTGATTCTCATGGAAAACGTAAGTTTAGTCAAGGGTTAGGTTTCTACTGCTATGTACCTTGAAGCCAAGTCAAAGAGCTCTACTGTAACGCTGCCCTGGGGGCAGCAGCAAAGCAAGTAGGAGACGGTGTTGCAAATTACACGTGCAAGTACTAATAATGGCTGAAGATGCTACTGCTCCATATTTGTTCACATAAACCCCTGTGATGTCAGTTCTCTCAGCTGTTTTCAAATAGAGGCATACAGGGACTGGAAGAATACAGTTGCCCTTACTACTGATTCCCTAGGCGCTCCCCAGCACCTGCTGTACTCCTGCATCCAGAGATGAGTTACGTGTTTGTATTGCAGGTGTGGGGAGACAGAGTAAAATACTGTCCTGGAATGAATTGTGTTCAAGAGGTCATTGTCAACTCATGCAGTTTCCTCAGCTGTCTTTTTACCAGAGGGCAAAACTTGACTATTGCCCCAGTATAAAGCCTATTTCCCTCACCTTTTCTTCAAGGGACAAACATCAAACACTTCAAAGTTTCTTAGCTGGGATTTAGGACACCTGCTTTCTTAATTTTCACAGGGATTTCAACAGGAAGTCATCTTCACCGACTTACATTCTCCTCCATGAAACAGGACTAAATACATTGGGATACAGTGGGATCTGTTTTTTCAGGAAGGAACGTATGTGTGGAGGGAGCAGATGAACAGTGGGGTTTAAATGCTTCATGATAAGAAAACACCTTCATTCACGCTCTGACACCGGCTCTGCTGCAAATTCTTTGCCCTGTGACAGCAGCTTGGAACTGAAGATGTTTTTTCCAGTTGAAAGCGAAAGTGAAGGGATAATGCACTTCAGTATCACCAGTTTACCTGAACTGAAAAATACTATGGTGGATAGCAGCTGTCCCATGCACGAGCTATGCCAGGTCTCAAAGAACTAGCAAAGCCATTTACAAACATCACCTACCAACTGGCAGAAAACTATTACTCATTTTTGATGCTTAAGACAGTTTTCTTTGCTCACCTCCCTGAGCCCTCTGACAGCTGCTGTTAGACCACAGTGGTTAATACTGAATTCTTTAAAATGACCGATCAACATGACTCGTCTATAGAGCCTCCTTAGAGCTGCTTCGTGGATGTACAAAATACCAACCAACGCACAACATTGTTATTAAACTAAAAATATTTATTCAAGCTGTGAATGCTATGCAGTATTCAGTTATTGGATGGGTTTAATATAAACATCTACTGCATAATATTGGTTCCTTAGGAATCCTTGTATACTATCTGAACCATTGCCCTGTCGCTGTACAGATCTCTTACGAGAAAACTTGCAACTTTTTAAGACCTCAACAATTTGAGAACAAAGAAGGAAATACCAGTAAAAATCCTGCAGTACTGGAGCAAGGCTAGTGTGGTAATTTTTACCCATGCTAATTATTACTCAAATGTAGGGCTGGGCTTCTCCTGGGCCTGTCTGGAAGACAGTTTGTAGAAAAATTCTGCATCAAACAGAAAGATTAGCTGCCAATTCTTCTGTGTCTGGCTGAAAGCACAAGGGGGGTTAACAAACGCTAACTCACCAGTACAAATGACAGTTAAAAGAACCGACTTTTGCAACAGAACACCCCAAAATGCTTGTCTGGCTGTTGCAACAGGTTCAGTGTTCATACAACTGGGGTAGGCATAGGGGAATTAACCCAACAGCACAGCACACTGTCTGGAAACAGCTTCTGCACTCAACTGCCGCTACTGCAAACAGAGGCTCATCCAGATGAAAGCTTTACCTGGATAACTGGCTGGGCAGAGCTTCATTAGATGAGAAATATGTTTGGAGGTTTTATACTGGCCTTATGTTTAGTTACCGGCATTCTTGTTAACTCATTCAAAGCCTTACAGCATGGGTTTGACAGTTAGGAGGGAGAGACGGTTAGAACAAGGCAGTTTCACCCAAAGATTAAATCACTTTTGGATTCAATGAGACAATGGGAAGTGGCCCCTGTCTCAGAATAGTGAACTACAAACACCGCCTTTCACAAACTGTCTAAGCGGTTTGGAGGGGAAGTAGAGAATGCAGCAGAACACAGACAACGTGGTGTAACAGGAAACATACAACTTTTCTTACAGTACATTTATACAAATTTACAACTTTGCAAATTAAATGGCTCTATAATTACGCAAGTGCTTTTTCAGAAATAAACACAGACCAACTCAATGATATTTACACTTAGCAACCTGCTTCAGGAACAGCATGATTTTGCTATAAAGTGAAACTCCAGTGCACTGAAAGTGCAACTCACCCTTTAGAATTAACTTCTCATGCAAAACCTCGGCAAATACCACCTGGCTTTGAACAGTCACAGCTCAGCTTCTTTATTTTTTCACTCATCATAATGCAAAGACAACAAGAACTTGTCCACATCCATGCCTGCTGGGAAAGAATTCGGTAACTTCTTTTTCTGTAGGAGAGGAAGAGAACAGTTAGGTTAAATACTGAGAGCCTGGGGCTACTGATGAAGCATCCCTTTCTTCCTCAGCCTTCCATCTGTGCTGTAGACATAAATGCACTAAGCTCCCATTGGAACAGACACGGGAATGGCTGTATGCTGTTGGCTTAGGGGACAGGAGTAGCTGCATGCTCTGATCCAGCAGGAGCCAACCCAGGCTTCAGGAGGGCACGGCCTCTGGCTTGTCATGTACACAGGAGTAAGTCAGTGTTTCTCAGTATTTCAGGAGTGTGTTCTAAGCCCGGTGAGTTACAGAGCTATACCACGTTTTCTTTTGGATTCTTTGCATGTATCACCTTTTCTCAACTCATCTTTGCTATTTGTCATTAAATCCTCAAGTCAAATGCATGGTGCTATGGACTGCAGGGACTGGGAATACATAAAATGTGGGTTCCTAGTCCTGATGGAAAATGGGGATGCAAGAATGTATAGAATCCTAGCAAGGCCTAGTTTGAGTTTGTCCTATTTCCTACATTCCACCTGGAAACATAGTTTGAAGTTAAGAATTCAGAAACTCATTTAACAGATTCCATAGGTATGTGCAGCATCAGTAGGAGTTTACTTGTGGGTATCTGAAGACTGTCATAGAATCACAGAATGGTTTTGATTGGAAGGACCTTAAAGATCACCTACTTCCAAACCCCAGCAACAGGCAGGGACACCTTTCACTAGACCAGGTTGCTCAAGAGGGGCTTGAACACTGGCCTTGAACACTGCTAGGGATGCGGCAGCCACAGCTTCTCTGGGAACTTGTTTCAGTGTCTCGCCATCCTCACAGTAGCAAACAACTTCTCAATACTTAACCTAAATCTCTCCTCTTTCAGTTTAAATCCATTCCCCCTTGTCCTGTCACTATATGCCCTTCTAAAAAGACCTTCTCCAGATTTCTTGTAGGCCCCTTTAGGCACTGGAAGCTACCCTAAGGCCTCCCTGGAGCCTTCTCTTCTACAGATGGAACAAGCCCAACTCTCTCAGACTGTCTCAACAGGAAAGGTGCCGCAGCCCTCGGACAATCTTCATGGCCTCCTCTGGACTCACTCAAACAGGTCCACATCCCCCTTGTATTTGGGCTATACTAATCTTAAGAAAACTTAGTTCAGAGGAGGCTGAAGAGTCAAAGTTAGTAAATCTGACAAATATAACTAGAGTATCTGGGATTTGGACTAGCACCTCTGAACCATTTCTTCATAAATATCTATATAGACAACTAATGTATGTTTAGAATTAGCAAGTAAATGCCAGCACTTGCCTTTATTTTCTTCTTTTTTGATGGTGTTGGAGAGCTTTGAAGGTCTTTCCTAGTTGCAGAACGAGAATTTCTCTCACCCTCGTTCAAGTCCTCCAGTTTCCTTTTCTTTACTGCGCTCCTTACGGATCGGAACTGCTGGGTGTTGTCCTTCAGGGGGGTTGCAGTGCTAGTCCTGGCAATGGCTGCCCGGGACAGGATCATGAGCGTGTGAGCAGCCATGCTGACACTGTTCTCACTGCCTGTTTCACTGGCTGGGCTGCAGGCAGGCAGGTCTGGTGTAGCAGGAGGCACCATGATTCTAGGGGTGGTGCTGTCCTCGTTGAAGCGCCGACACATCGGTGTCCGCACGCTGTCTGTAGTATCATCTGTGTGCCTGTCCCCAACTCCAGACGGCGTACGGGGGACAGGCAATTCTCCGTTCTCAACTGTTTTACTAGTGGGGCTGTGCCACTGAATGTCTTGCAGCATTTCCACACACTGCTTAGTGAATGGGCTTGACAGGCAAAGGCCTTGGCTGGAAACTTTAGCTGGTTCTCTCTTTGGCTCCTTCGAAGACAAAGAAACAGACACTGAGGATTTGCCATTTCCACTCGACAGCGACCCTTGCTTTTTGTTCAGCTCCGGCACTGAAGCAACTGTCTTCTCATTCCACAAGCTTACGCTCTGTTGGCCATTTGAGAGTTTGGCAGTGTCCTGGCTCTTCTGTTTTTCATCAGTATCCCTTTGTAATTCATTTTCTTTATTTGCTGTAGTCTTGTGGAAGGGATCTAACGGAAGCCCTGCAGCTGATGCCTTCCGCTCAGGCTGCAGCTCCTTTGCAGATGCGCTTCTGTTGCTACCAACTTCTGGCTTACAGAGAATTCTAGGCAATGTTTTATCTTTCTCTCTCTTTGCTACCTGTGCCTTAGCAGAGGACGATGCAGAGTCAACAGCAAATACAGTATTTTCATTTCTTTCTTTCTGGGATAAACTCTTAGTAGTCTGAATTTGTGTGTTTCCTCCTGGAGCAGGTAGGACGTTATCAAAGCAAAGCACTCTTCTGTGGCTTTCACTTTGCCTTGAACTCGAGCTTGTGCTTTCTACTGGTGCAACAGGTAAGTTCTCCTCCACCTTCCTTCCTAGCTCTGCAGTGATAAGCTTGTCTGAGTTTCCAGTTCTGAAAATGAGATGAAAACACTTCAGCAACATACTTGTTATTACTAGTCAAGTCAGCTTCATCTGGCTGGAAGTGCTCACCTGCCCCTCAAAACACCTGCTTAAAGCTCTCACTATTCTCTAAATGTATTTATCAACACACAAACACCAGGAGTAAGGGATGACAACCACAGAAAGCTCAGAGAAGGTCAAAAGGATGACAAGAGAAGTATGAAATAGAGCCTGTACAAAGAACAAGTAGGTAGACTGGGGCTCTTCAACCAGGAAAGAGAGATGACTGAGAGGAAATGCAACAGAACTCTGAAAAAAAGCCAACTAAAAGGAAACTACTATAACTTCCAATGGAAGAACTAGGAACATCAAGTAAAAGTAGTATCAGGGTCAAACGAAAACAAGGAGGCTTTGAAGTGAATGTAATTAATCCTGGGAACATTTTACCCTGGGGTATTTGTGGATGCTGGTAGTTCACTTGAGTTCAAAACAGAAACAGAGTGCATTCATGACAAGATAGTCCACCCCAGAGTACTGGTTGTGGCTCTGGAAGCCCTTGGAGCTGAAGCTGCCAAGAGGCTGCCAGAATACTCTGGGCAATATCATCATATGCACGGCTTGTACTCTCCCCTGTACATTGCTGTAAGTGACAGGAAAGAGAGCAAGACACAAAGTTTTCAGTGGGCATCTGGGCAAGAGCACACAAACTACCTCAGGCTGAGTCTGCACCTGACAACCAGCCACGAGTGTGGAAAATGCCACCGCTGTGCTGCAGTGACGTCAAGAGAAGGATATTACTGCTCTGTCAGCTCATACCACTATTACGTCTGTGCCCTCTTCCTGCTTACACTGTGTTTCCAAGAAAAGCCTCTTCATATTCATCTCTGCTGGTAAGATAAGCCTGTGCAGATCAGCCTTTATGGTTTGCAAGAGGAAATGGCAAATTAACTTCGGGATGGTAACTCTGGTACCTTTGGAGCAGTAAAGGAAGGACAGGTGGGGACACTTTGTTCTATTCCCGTGAAATTTGAGATGAGGCAGAAAGCATAAAGAGTAGAAATGGGAAATGACATCTCTTTACAGGGAACATTTTGTTCTCTTTGCTCTGCAAAACATATATTTGGAGATTGACTACAATTAACAGAAAGCTGAATTATCAAAAATCTTGCTTCTGTGGCTTTTTAAAAATTGCTAGTTTTTCCAGGCACATATACTGTATACATTGAGATACATTTTTTTTAATAAGCTGACTTTATTGTTCCTGTTTTTTTCACTTTCCCAATATTTGAACTGAGTTCTGAATAGGTAGATTTTTTTAAAGTATGTTTTATTTTTAAACAATAAAAGGATGTTTCACCTCTACTATTTAAACTGAGCTTCTTATCTTCTCGTACACTTTTGCTCATTCCAACATTCTCTTGTTTCTTAAGTCCATGAACAACAAGGAGAGTTATTACTGAAGCCTTACCTTCTCTTCTCTCACTTGCCCAACAGAAAACTAGTACCTATCCCAAGTAGCATTTAAGTGATACTCATCACTCACAAAGTTAGCATGCTGTTCTCCTCACCATCTTTCCTTTGGCTTTTCACTTTAAAGGACCAAGCAGTGCTCTGATCTGCACAGCTAGAACACACAGCTGCAGAACCCAATCTAACAAGCTCTACGGTCTTTGGGCCAGAGAGCAGTAAAGGCAACAAGGCTGTACTACAAAACCGTGGGCAATACTCATCTGAAAAGGTGGGGGGAAAAAAAGAAAAGGTTTTAGTCATTAAAATCTCCCGGTAAATGTAACAGGCAATTGCTCCTTGCTTGCACTCCCCTCCAACAGTTTTTATTTTACAACTGAGATAGAAGTAAACACAAAGCCATACAAAATTAGCCTAGGAACAGTACCACCAGAATTCTAGCATGTACTGCACCAGTACTAGCACACATCTGTACCAGTGCTCCTAGCAGAAAGACAGGAGAAATAAAGAGGGTGCTTGTACCACCGTTAATAAAACTTGCTCTCCTCTCCAGCAGTACTGTTCAAAGCAATTCATGGCAGGAAGAAGAAAGCAGGTTTGAATAGCTGGCTCTACTGACCTTTGTGTTCGAGAACTTGCGTGGTTCAAAGGCTCAGCTGCGCTCGGTACCAGTTTTCCTGGAACAACAGATGAAATGTTAATAAACCACAATATTCCAAGGAAATCATCTCACAGCGAGTACAATGACATTCCACATGACAGAGAATCAATAAAGAAAAACCCAAGACAGAACTCTGCCTTATTTTTGTAATTTTCAAGTTTACAGATTAATAGATTAGCAAAGGTCACCAACTAAGGACAGACAAGAAACTTGCTGCCTACACCTAACAGGTAGTCCTGGCAAGACAAAACCCAGCACACAAACACATGGCAGGGATTTCCAAGTGGGAAATAACTGCAGGGAACTCTCAGTTATCCATCAGCAAAGCAGAATGCAGAACTAACTATACAACCCCAGCTTTTTTCTTCATTTGCAGCTTTGTTCCATTTTATGTGTAAGCCGTCTCTGTTTCAAAAAGGTAGACAGGCTAAAGCATAAACTGTCCTTACAACTCAATTTATTTTCCATTTTCGATTATTTTTCTTTACCCCCTCCCAACACTGAGAAATGAATGGAACTCCAGTCTTGTTTCAATTCCTATTTAAAGCAGCAAGATGTCAATGAAATGAATATACACAAGCACAAAATATACACAAGTACCTGAAATGGCAAAGAGAAAACAGGCAGCAGAGTGTATATGCATCCCTTCTATTAAATATTTTCCTTAATAAATGTTTAGAATTGCTGACTTCCAGTAATTTCTTTGTTATTATGTGGCTTGGTTTCAATGGTAGCAGTCAACAGTACTCACAACCAACAAGATTAAAAATAATCAGAAATATAAAGAAAATTAAACTTTCAAAACTGCATTAGAGCCTTGAAACATTACACTGCAAAATAAGCTTGATCCCAAACTGGAATTATTATTATTATGCTGGGAGTTCTTTGTAAACTGAGCAGATGCAGTTACTAACTGCAGATACAGGCCTCTTGCAAAGCCATCCCAGCAGTTATCTGGCAGAGCAGCAGTGGTATGTATAAAACTTTATTCCTCAGAACTGACATGTCTTTAGAGCCCCCCCTTTTCTTGCACCCTTCTCAAGAAGGCAAGTCAGGTACCTGTATTAGTCTTGTTTCTTGCTCCAGGAATCTTTTGTGATTTGGGAGGGATGGGTAGTTTTGGGACACTTCTGTTGCACACTGTATTAGCCACAGGCATATGTAGAACCTTTAAGGATCAAAATATTCCATTATAATTTATGACAAGATTCCTGATCACCTCAGCTTTAATTCTGAGAAGTTCTATGATATGCTACCTGACGGGCAGGTGCCGAGAATGTATTTCCATTTTGTCCTACTACAGAGAGAGGTATCATTCCCACCATTCCTTGCAAAACAGGCTGCACCGGAGATGCAATTATAATGGCAGAACCTAAAAGACATCAAAGTGTTACAACTGTACAGAAACAAAGAACACTTTACTGAAAAGAAAAGCTTCAGAACAGGTTTTCTTAAAACAATGCATGCTCAAACCTGTGGCAAGAAAAGCTCTGGCTTTTTAGTAAGCCTTCACTGTCCTTACTATACATTACGACCAGAAAAACTAGAGAACATTATATTGAATTCTTTCACTAAAGTCTGTTTTCCTTTTTAAGACATGTTTCAAAATGAAGCTTAAAGTATGACAAATCCATGTCAAGGCTTGAACTTTGAATTGGTTTATAACAAATGGTAACACCAAAATCTCATTTTGCTGCTTAATAAAAACAAACAACTCTTTGCATCCTGCCCTCTACAATTACAATGATTAAATGTTATTACCAGAAGCATGGTTTTTTTTCTTCCAGTGTACCCGTAACACCCTCTGCTTACAAGCACACAACATTCTGGGATAGCTTTGTCCCTATGTATCCATGATCCATCATGGATATTCCTGGCTGGTAGGAAGTGTTAAACATAGTACACAAAGTTTAGTTAATTAGTGGGTTTGAGATTAATTACTGAATTAAAAAAAAAAAAGCATAATAAGACTGATTTGGAATACTGAAGCCAAAGTTCCCTATTTAACTATTTAAATTGCTGTTAAAATAGTTATTTTCAGTTATTCTAACAGGTTGTTAGTGTCTGGCTGCCAGACATACAGGAATTGTAAAACAGGGAAACTATTATAGCACATTCATTGAAAAGTGGAAGAAAAATTCCAAAAGTGAACAGAAAATTCATTCCACGTTGTTCTTCAGTTAAATAAGCACTACCAGGAAAACTATCACATGCAGAAGAAAAGGCAAACTTGTGTTTCTCTCTCTGTTAAAACAGAAGGTAATAGCTGCTTGAAGGAATCCCCATGACAGAAAATGCCTCTCAGTGCTCCAAGGTCTTGCTCATACTGTCACAGTGGCCTCTGAGCACAACCAAATCACTACACACAGAAATTCAAAGATCAGTGTAATAAGTTTTTAGTTTTGGAAATAAATCTAAATGTGTAAACACAGCTGGCTTATAGTTTGGTTTCACATCTTAAAAAGCACTGACATTTTTATTGCTGTAGTAATAAAAATGTTTGCACTAGGAGACATTTAACATTATGGAAAGAAAAAATGTTATACTTCCAGAACATACTGTCTAAACATAGGAGAGGTTCTTGGAAAACGGAACAAAACAAAACAAGTGAGTAATTTTGGAAGGATCATCTGTATCTAGCCAGTTACCAAAGCTGAATATGGATACCTGTAACACAGCATTCTATTTGTAACAGGAAACTTATTAAAACAAAACAAACAAAAATGGTTTATTTAGCCAAAGCAACAAAATCTTTTCTTGTATAAGCCAAAATATGCTTCCTAAATTTATCACTGCTAAAACTGTATCATGTAAGCTTCTGAAATACAAGGCTACTTCTTTCAAAGCAGCCTGGTCGATGACTCTTCGTAGTTTTAATTTCATTTTCAGTAGCAACTACTATACTCACAAGCTACATAACTCCTGGATAGTTTCAACAGGCAGATACAGCAGTGTTTAAAAAACTGGTTTACTTTTCATGCAAAAAAGGAATAAAACCACTATATAAATGCCACATTTTCATTTTCTAACAATGAGGTTACCTTGTGCGAAGTTTGGGGAGACAGCCTGATTTGCTGCAAATGTACTGCTGGATCTAGGAGGAGTCCGTAACTGTTGTACTGCTGGAGCTTGGGCAGCAAGTGGCATAGAATTGCCAGGCAATACAACTACATTTGATGGTGTTACCGCTGTGCCCAAGGCAGCTGGATCAGTCACACAGGTGGCTATGTAAAGGTTGCTTGAATTCCCAAAAGCTGTGCTTGTTGCTGGCATCAACTGTATAAATCCCCCTTCCTTGGAAAGGTTAGTTGTACCTGCAACTGAAAACACAGGGCAGTCTTCATTCTGAGTGTTGACTGAGGTGACCACAGGATCCTTAGGTCTAAGTACAAGAAGATTCTGCTCTGTCAAATCTGAATCCACGTTTTTTTCAGTGTCTTCTGAAGTCAGACATTTGGACAGGCCTGCAGTTTTGGTTGGGGATTTGGCTGGAGAAGACAGTATTATAGTTGGCAAATTTTCTCCTGTGATGCTGGAAACAGCATTATTTAACTCTGTGTCAGATGAAATGAATGGATCATCGCTGATGATGATCTTGAGGGACATTATATTAGAAGGATCAACATCCATCGGCTGACTGCTAGAAGATACACCGCTTACACTTTTGGCCTCAGTACCTGACTCATCTGTTGAGGATGCAGTTTCTGGGAGAGGAGAGTGGCATATTTCAGATGTAGTAAGAGTATTTTCAGTGGGTACTACAGAAATTTCTGTACATGCGTCATCACCAGAAGAGAAATATACATTATCAGCATCTACTTTTGTAGAAGATGAAGGTTCCTGCACTTCCCCTTGTGTTCCCTCCAAGCTTGACAGTTCTGAAGGGAAGCTTAAATATTTCTTACAAGGCTTATCAAGTGTATGCTGATCATTTGAGCAAGTTTTGTTAGAGGTATCAACAACTTCAAGCTGCAACTCTGCTTTGTCAAGATCAGAAACCTTCACTGCAGCTCTTGCAGCACAGTCTGATTGCGTACTCTGCTCCTGATGGACAGAGTTCTCCTGTAAAATACCAGGTAAGGCAGCTGTACCATTTGTTGTGTCCTGTTCCTTTCCTGCATCTGCTGATGGGCTAGAAATTGAGGAATTGGTTTTTCTCAGCAGTACACTGTGGCCAGGGCTCCCATTAGAAGGGCTTTCAGTAAGTATTTTTTCAGATAGTGATGTATCTGGTGATAAGTGACATTTACTTCCAGAATGTGTTCTGTTTTCACTGGCTGTACTTCCTTCTGCCAATGAAATCAAAGAAATCTGTGGACTACCAGAATGAACATATTCTAAATTAGGAGTACTTTGAGCACTATGAATTAATGGTCCTTTTCCAATTTCCATAGCTCTTTCACTTTCAGCCACTAATGCAGGCAACTCTTTTTTACCATAAGAATCTCCACAGCATTCATTACATTTGCTATCAGAACTCTGTCTCTTGTCAGGTTCAGTCAAACCAGACACAGAGTCAAAAGCGATTTCAAGCTCTCCAATATGTTCAGGGGTAATGGTTTTAAGTACTTCAGTCTGCTTCCTTGGTGTACAATTCCCATGCAGCTGGTCACTAGTTGTATTTTTCTTAGCTGCATCATCATTGTTAATGCTGGTCTTCAAGGCACATGATGTTTCTCCTAACTGAAAACCTTTACAGGATAGCGATTCTCTAGAATTATCACCTGTAAAACAAAGAATAAATTAGCTCCATAACTATCAAACAGATGATCCTTTTACAGTGTTTTAGAAGCAACTTAGTTTCATGTGAAACAGTTTTTCATTGAACTGGTAAGTGGGAATAATGCTACTCATCCTTACTTTCAAGATAAGCAGAAAGTATATGAAACAGATAGTTACGTACATTAGGCAATCTGGCAAATCAGTTTGTACGTAAGTAGTAAGCATATAAATAACAAGCAAATGTCTTAAGTCAATAAATCAGACTTCGAGAAGCACAAAAAGCCATGTCAGGATAAAGACCTTTTGGCTCTATTTCTCACAGGCTTTTGCTGAATAGTTGCTGCTGATGGACAGTTGCTAAGAATGGGGTAGACAGACTAAATGCACCTTTTGTCCAGAGCAAGTATCTTTTTGTGTATTAATTAACCAATACATTACAGAATAGAGAGAAAGATTAATATGCTTGGATGTAAGATATTAACTTTATGTGTTCCACAATGAATATTGCAAAGCATCTCTATTCTGAATGAGAAAACAGATTTGCAGGTATTTTGATTTCATTTAGGAGCTTATCAAGTACAGCTTTTACGTACACTGATGGATTACTGTTAAATTTGACAAACTTTCTAACAGAACAGGTATATCCATACGTTCACGCAATGTACAAGTCAGACTGCATATTACCATTGAAAATAAAAAGCTTTGGAAATGTACAAGTTGTCTGAAAATATTTTCATAATGAAAAGAGATTAGAAGACATCTTAAAGGAAAAAAATAACCAAAAAACAAGCCGAACTAAAACACAACAACCTACATATACTAGAATCTTCTGTTCCTAAAGAACTTTCAAGTGTTTCCAGGTTATCCTCATCCACCAGGATTCCATTTTCTACTCCACTCTGACCAGAAATACCAGCAGGTAAATTCTTGTTTACTTTGCTCTTTCCTATTTTAAAAATAAAGCAATAAGAATGATTAAATATGACCTTTACACATAAATGCAATTATTACATTTAAAATGAAGCATGGAGATTTCATATTCAAGAAACGCAATCCTAAACTCGCAGAACTATTTGTCTATATTCATTACAAATCCAGAAATAGCACTAAAATGTCCTTTTTATGCAATGATATTCCTGATCAGACAGATAGAAAAAATTTGCAACAGCATAGAAGACCACGTATGAACTATCATCCTTCAGACCAGAAGAGTCTAAAGCAGTATCAATAAACCGTCACTGAACCAGCACAAACCCAGAATTTCAGCCACAAGAAAACGCTGTACTTTACAGTCATGTATAAATATAAAAAGCTGATTCTGAACTGAGGGATGCAGATGCCCTACAGTCCATTCCTGTTGCAAAAGAGGCTTGCTTAATTACCTTTGCTTCTTCAAGCAATACCTGGGGAAACTCATCATTCATGATGCTCTATGTTAATGGTACAATTGAGTATAATATGTCCTACCATAATCAAACAAGTCAAAGAGTGCCTGAAAAGCTGGATCGGATTCTGTCTGTTCTAGAATGTCCTGTATAGCTTCTTCTGACATATGGATTTCACCCTGAGAAAAGACAAAACATAAAGAACTGTTAGACACCTACTTCCGTAACTTAAAAGGAAAACAGACAAGAACTGCTTTCTTTACAGAGTGCTTTTTGTTCTATTACTTCTGCTGAGCACTGAATCATAAAAACTAACGTTGGAAATATTTCTGCCACAAATTTAACATCTGTTAAACAAAATATTAGTGACTTAGTTTAAGAAATAAAGTCCCTCAAACATCTTCATCAGACGTTACACTCTGCACATGCACACTGGAGTATTCTCTTCGTAATGACCAGCACTGTTTATGAAGGTCGAAATCTCAGGTCACACGGGCAGCTTATGAAGATAGTATGAACGCCGTAAGCGTGCACTAGCCAACCACTGAGGAAAAAGTCCCTAAATTAACCTGCATTTTTTGGTTATGCATGTGTCTAGAAGACAATATTAAGCAAAGCCAAGTTTTGTTTCCTTTATCCATTACAAGTTGTAGAATATAACTTCCAACTACTTTTCTGTGGAATAGAATTGGAAAGCATAACTACACTGGATGCTGCTCTACGGTTCCTTTTTCAAGCTGACTTGTTTGGTAGCAGCCCAGGAGGAAAATGTGCAGAGCACTCAGTACATATTCTAGCATTCAAATACAAAGTTTCTCCCAAATTCCCAGAGATTCTGTACAGTCTTTGATTATGGTGGTTCTAAGGGTGGATATCCCATATGACAGACTTGATTATTTTGTCTCAGCTACTCTTACTAAACCAAGAGCAGTTGATGTCATCTACCTGGACTTGTGTAAAGCGTTCGACACTATCCCACACGACATCCTTGTCTCTAAATTAGAGAAACATCAATTTGATGAATGGACCACTCGGTGGATAAAGAACTGGCTGGATGGCCACACACAAAGAGTTGTGGTCAATGGCTCAATGTCCAGCTGGAGACCAGTAATGGGTGGTGTCCCTCAGGGATTGGTGTTGGGACTGGTCTTGTTTAACATCTTCATCGCTGACATGGACAGTGGGATTGAGTGCGCCCTCAGCGAGCTTGCTGATGACACCAAGCTGTGTGGTTCAGTTGATACGCTGGAGGGAAGGAATGCCATCCAGAGGGACCTTGACACGCTTGTGAGGTGGGCTGATGCCATCCTCATGAAGTTTAACCATGCCAAGTGCAAGGTCCTACACCTGGGTTGGAGCAATCCCAGGCACAGCTACAGGCTGGGCAGAGAAGAGATTCAGAGCAGCCCTGCGGAGAAGGACTTGGGGGTGCTGCTTGATGAGAAAATCAATATGAGCCAGCTTCAGTGTGCACTTGCAGCCCAGAAAGCCAACCGTATCCTGGGCTGCATCAAAAGGAGCGTGACCAGCAGGTCCAAGGAGGTGATCCTGCCCCTCTACTCTGCTCTCGTGAGACCTCACTTGGAGTATTGTGTGCAGTTCTGGTGTCCTCAACATAAAAAGGACATGGAACTGTTGGAACAAGTCCAGAGGAGGGCCATGAGAATGATCAGGGGACTGAAGCACCTCCTGTATGAAGATGGGCTGAGAAAGTTGAGGCTGTTCAGCCTGGAGAAGAGAAGGCTGCGTGGAGACCTCAGAGCAGCCTTCCAGTATCTGAAGGGGGCCTATAGGGATGCTGGGGCTGGACTCTTCATTAGGGACTGTAGTGATAGGACGAGGGGTAATGGGTTGAAACTTCAGCAGGGGAAGTTTAGATTGGATATAAGGAGGAAATTCTTTCCTGTTAGGGTGGTGAGGCACTGGAATGGGCTGCCCAAGGAGGCTGTGAATGCTCCATCCCTGGCAGTGTTCAAGGCCAGGTTGGACGAGGCCTTGGGTGATATGGTTTAGAGCGGGATGTCCCTGCCCATGGCAGGGGAGTTGGAACTTGATGATCTTAAGGTCCTTTCCAACCCTAACTATTCTATGATTCTATGAAGAAACTGCTTTGATTTTTTCTGCTCAGAAAAAATGGGATACAGCTTTCAGCTATGTATTTTCACAACAATCGATCTAAAAATCACCATGCGACAGAAGAATAGCTTTTAAAAAACAGATACCTCTACTTCATAAACAGGCAACTGCCTCTACTCTCCTGCCTTTTTCATGAGGGCTATGAAGATTATACCTTCATTAAGAGCCGTTCATAACTCTGTGATTGCCACACTGAGTGTTGCAGGAGCACAAAGGAAAAATACCAGAAGTTTAGTTTGCAGAACTCCAAAAGCAAGAAAATACTAAATTTGAAGAAAAAGCATCCTTATTTAGGCTCCAAAGACAGTTTCTCTTGCTATACTAGATACTCCATGTTTATCTTGCAGCAAATCAGAGTATCAGATTAGACTAAACATGTTTGGAGACTGCCAAGATATTTTTAATTCCCTTGTTTTTTATAAGGTTGTTGATCAGATCCCCAGTCAGAAGCTGATCCCCAACTGCCAGTGACAAGGAGGCAGCTGGTAACTGTGGGAAGCATACTTAAATTTCAGTCTGAGGGTAATGTTAACAGCTGACCACTGCCAGAAGCAGTCCCACTCCCCGGCTTCTAACCCTGCTGCATGCTTGTGCTGCCTTGTACAGGCACTGGAAATGAATTCAGAGTGCTAAACTGGCTCAAAACAATCCTGTTAATTCAGCTCTTGGAACCTGCCCACTACCAAACAAGATGAGTTAATGCCTATGCAAGGGAAGCTGTGGAACTGCCCCTGGGCAGAAGCTAGACATTAGATAAACTGAGATGTACTGTAAAACAAGCAAATGAATAAAAAGAAAGAAAGAGGAGAGCAATCTCAGATATTAGACAGTAGACAGAGGTTCAGTACAGTTCCCATAATTGATTATCCTCACGTGCCTGGTCTTAAAAAAAACTTTGAGCATGGCAATTTACACTTACCTGGAGTCCAAGGATTTCATCAATTGAAGTCTCCTGTTCCGAGGGACCACTGTCTGTCTGTTTAGGGGCCTGAGCAACGTTGCCATCACTGGAACACATTATTCATTAATTCAGAACTCAAAAATAAATCAAATCAGAATACATATGAAGTTTTCATTTTATTACCTGCCCAGGATTTTGTTAATGTTCTCAGCAAGCTTCTCCTGAAGAGATTTGTTGCTCAAGATTTTTTCTCTGGCATTTTCAATAACCAGTTGCTAGAAAACACAGTTCCAAAGTGGTCAGGTTTCTATTTTTATCATTACTAGAGAAGGAGCATGAATCTTCAACTTAGTGGTAATAAAAAAAAATAAATCAATAAAATCAATTCAACAAAGAGAACATTCTTGGTAACAGAGAGACAGCCAATCTGTGACTGCATGACATTGCTATAGAAACAATACCAAAAAACATTCCTCTACTTCTACTCTCAAAGTACAGCAAGGCTTATTCTGCTTTGTTTTCCATTCTCTACAAAATTACTGTATTGTAACAGTTTACAGGTATCTTAACAAAGCCAATATATCAAGGAAAAAACCCTCTACATAGCCATGCCATTCTTATGGGAATTGCTTGAAAGAGTCCAGCACAGAGCCACAAAGATGGTTAAGGGAGTGGAACATCTCCCTTATGAAGAGAGGCTGAGGGAGCTGGGTCTCTTTAGCTTAGAGGAGACTGAGGGGTGACCTCATCAATGTTTACAAATATGTAAAGGGTGAGTGCCAGGATGATGGAGCTAAGTTTTTTCAGTGATGTCCAGGGATAGGACAAGGGGCAATGGGTGTGAACTGGAGCATAGGAGGTTCCATGTGAACATCAGGAAAAACTTCTTTACTGTGAGAGTGACAGAGCACTGGAACAGGCTGCCCAGCAGGGTTGTGGAGTCTCCCACATTGGAGATATTCAAGGCCCGCCTGGACAAGTTCCTGTGTGATGTAGTCTAGGTTAACCTGCTCTTTCAGGGGGACTGGACTAGATGATCTTTTGAGGTCCCTTCCAACCCTTGTGATTCTGTGATTCGCACTAACTTATTACACAGCATATAGTTCAAATGCAAAAGAATAACTTTATCTTCTAAAGGCAATTTCTATAAAACCCAAGATAAACAACATGTAGAAGACTAGCTCCCTTTAGTCTGATTTTTTTTTTCTTAAATGTAAGTACCTTCCATAAGTATATACTCACTGGGAAGTTACCATCTATGAATTCTTCAAGAGGCTCACTTTCTGTTATTACTTCATCAGTGTCTTGAGAACTTCTAGTTGCCGAAAGAGGTCCAGATGTTGTAATACTTTTCCTCTTCTGAGATTCACTGAAACATTCCAGGAAATTTATGATGTATTTTGTGAGAACATAGCAAACAATAGACCTAATGGTCAATAAATCAAGAGTTTCTCTTCCTTCTTACCAAATGACAAACTTTAACCAACAGAAAACTTACTACATATTGGAAATACAATAAAAGCCAATACCTGATTCACTACGCACATGCATACATTGTGTCCCACTTCACAGAGATTACAAACAAATATGCAGACTGTGGATAAACAGCACAATGGCAAATGGAATTCTAAGCCCACTATTCAGTTAGGATCTTTTTCCCCTCATAGTAAACATGACTAACTGGTGTTACAGGTTCTAATTAACTGCCACTCAAGAAAAAGATCTGGACATCACCATTGAAAAGAAACACCTCTCAAGAAGCAGCTGTTGTCAAAGAAGCAAACAAATGTTATATTGCATAAGAATTTAGATGATGAATGAGAAATGTAATGTTTTTATATGAGATCAGGGTATAGACTCTTCTGAAACCATCAAACAGCAAGGGCACTAAAATCACTTACATACAAAAAAATCATTTAGGAATAGAAAAGGACTTGGAAAGAGTATATATGAGTAAGGATCAGGAAAAATGATACACAAAACCACTACTGGGATTTAGTCAGGGATAAAGTCAACAAATGCAACACAAGAACAGTCAAGTCATTAAAAAGATACTGGAACGCAAAGATAAAAAAAATGGAAAGCTAGCATAGAAACAGGTTTTACACCACTTTTAGTGTGAATATGAAAGTTTTTGCTGACAAAATTTACTGAAGCCAATAGCTCTTCTAAGTTAAAAATAGAAAAAATGCAAATTTATATATTGAGAAATTTTATAACTAATATTTTGGAAGGAACACTAAGTCTCAAGATCCAAGATTATTTCCCTACGTCTACTAATGGAATAATGTAAAGACCAGCTGTAGGCAATAAAGAAACACAGCCTCCTTTCTGTCTGTCCTGGGTTCAGCTGTTAACAGTTATTTTTATCTTTCCAAGTAGCTGGTGCAGTGCTGCTTCAGCTGTAGTCTGAGAACAATGCTGGTAACACACTGGTGTTTTAGTAGTTTGCTCAGCAGCGCTCACCCTGACCAAAGACTTTTTTCAGTCTTTCAGGCTCTGCCAGTGACAAAGGGCACAAGAAGCCAGGAGGAAGCAGAGAGAGGACACCTGACCCAAACTGGCCAAAGAGGTATTCCATACCACAACACGTCATGCCCAGTATATAAATGGGGCTGGGGGGGAGGGGGAGGTGTTTACTCAAAAGGCCCAAATCTCTGCTCAGGTCAGGCTGGGTATTGGTTGACAGGTGGTGAGCAACTGTACTGTGCATCACTTGTGTTTACTGTTTTTTTAACTTTCCTGTTTTATTTTTATATTCTCTCCCCTTGTTATTTCCCTTATCATGATTATTACTGGTGGGAGCAGTAGTGATTTGTGTTATACCTTAGTTACTGGACTGTTCTTATCTCAATCCATGGGAGTTACGTTCTTTCAATTCTACGCCTCATCTCTCTGAGAGCAGGAGGGAAGAAGAGCGGGGAGTGAGTGAGCAGCTGCATGGCTCTTCTGGCTGGGCTTAAACCATGACACTGTCTAATGTTAAGTTCTTTGACTTTCCTTTCCTTAGAGAAACATCACATCACTGGCCACTTTCAGTGGATCTTAAACATGAAGCATTCCAAATAACAAAAAAACCCCCACGTTTACCTTTTCCGTCTTCCTGGAGAGAGCAAGTTTGAATGAAGCTTTCGTTCTTGTGATGCTGGTACCTGAATGTGGATGAAATCTCCTGCTTCATAAAGGGAAAAAAAAACAACCCTGATGCCAATACTTTTTCTAGTGACACTATTAAAGCACTACAGATATCAACACATTACTTATTATGGTTCAACGAATTTTCTTGGGAATTCATAAAAAATAATTTGGTATTACAATGAAAATTATTATTTTTAAATATATCCTGAACAAAACCATGCACTTGATGTGGATCATCCCTATCTACTAAAACAAGTGTTTGGGTTAAGGGTGAGACCACAGGATAGAATGGCAGATTAATGCACTTCTGATCTCTGCACTCACATTAGCAAGCAAGTATACAAGAGCCATTTCTCTTTTGGGCACTCCTTTTTTTTAATCATCTGAACCAGTCTGAAGAGCTAGGGGAATAAAGCATGAATTTTCTGGAACTATTTTGGTGGAAGATGATAAGCCCTGATTTCAGACAACTTCCATCTATATTCATGGATTTTTCACAGAAAAAAAAACAGGTTAAAAATATGAGTAACTTACTGCTGCTCTTGTTTTCCTGGGTTTGTGACTGGTGCACAAACAATGTGTTCAGTCTTGTCTGTGATATGCTTTGATTTATTGGTGGCCTGTGAATAACTTGAGGAGATACAACAGAAGAGGAATTCTGCGGCCCTGATTGACAGGCTACTGATAACAATCCTGAGTTCGTAGGAGCTGACTGCTGAAGCATTCTCTGTCTTTTCATTTCCACAATTCCACTTCTTGTACGTGCTGAAGACAAAAAGACAAGATGGAAATACAAGATACAAGAATTTGAAAAGATTGCTGATTTTCCAAGACCTGATTAAGCATACTCCACAGAAACTTTTTTATGCTCAACAACTAATTCATGAAACTCAAAAAGCAAGCAACACCCTTTTTTGTCTTCTGTGTTACAGGTTTAAGCTTGTAAATAATTCAAGAAGTTATTAAAAATAATTCAAATTAATTCAACAAGTACAGCCAACTTCCATAGACATAACAGGCATGCTTGTATCACTGCTTAAATATTTACAGGCATAAATCATAGCAAAAATACATTTTATTAGAGAATATATCATTCATTAACTGACACTAAATGAGACAGCTAAACCAATAAGTTTCCATTTATCAGAAACAATTTTAGATAAAACAAGTATCTTATAATATTTTTATTAGCTATATGTTTGTATGCATAAAAATTATTTCAAGATTGTAAAATGTTTTTATATTTGCCTTCTACAGAAACGCAACTGCATCATAATTAGACTGATTATGTTTTCAGTTCCTCTAAGAACCACAAATTCAGTCAACAGCTTCAGGACTGAAACAGCAGCTTTTAAAACTTTTAACACTGTAAGCATCTAAAAGATTTTCAGCAGAGAAGACAACATTACATAGAGAATTGATGTGCCTTGCAAAAAGCTCAGCTTTTGTTTTCCTTCTTTGATCACTGCAGTAACCCAGACTGCACTGAAGACATCAGACATGCTGAAAAAAAACCACTGCATAAGAGATCTGACATTTTAATAGTAAGGCTGCATTAATGTAGTATTCCCCCATTTTTTGCAAAACATAATCTGAGCATAAAGCCTACTGATCCCATGGAATCGGAACAGTTACTTACTCCTTTGATTAGCAGAAAATCCTGTGGAATTCTGCATGCTCCTAAAAAATAAAGTAGGTGACATTAATAAAAGAAGCACAACGGAAACACACAGCTACACAAGGAGACAGTATCTATCATAGAATCATAGAATAGTTAGGGTTGGAAAGGACCTTAAGATCAAGTTCCAACCCCCCTGCCATGGGCAGGGACACCTCGCTCTAAACCATATTACCCAAGGCCTCGTCCAACCTGGCCTTGAACACTGCCAGCAATGGAGCATTCACAACCTCCTTGGGCAACCCATTCCAGTGCCTCACCACCCTAACAGGAAAGAATTTCCTCCTTATATCCAATCTAAACTTCCCCTGTTTAAGTTTGAACCCATTACCCCTTGTCCTATCACTACAGTCCCTAATGAACAGTCCAGCCCCAGCATCCCTATAGGCCCCCTTCAGATACTGGAAGGCTGCTATGAGGTCTCCACACAGCCTTCTCTTCTCCAGGCTGAACAGCACCAACTTGCTCAGCCCATCTTCATACAGGAGGTGCTCCAGTCCCCTGATCATTCTTGTGGCCCTCTTCTGGACTTGTTCCAACAGTTCCATGTCCTTTTTATGTCGAGGACACCAGAACTGCACACAATACTCCAAGTAAGGTCTCACGAGAGCAGAATAAAGGGGCAGGATCACCTCCTTTGACCTGCTGGTCACACTCCTTTTGATGCAGCCTAGGATATGGTTGGCTTTCTCGGCTGCAAGCGCACACTGCTGGCTCATGTTGATTTTCTCATCAACCAGCACCCCCAAGTCCTTCTTCGCAGGGCTGCTCTGAATCTCTTCTCTGCCCAGCCTGTAGCTGTGCCTGGGATTGCTCTGACCCAGGTGTAGGACCTTGCACTTGGCATGGTTAAACTTCATGGGGCTAGCATCAGCCCACCTCACAAGCGTGTCAAGGTCCCTCTGGATGGCATTCCTTCCCTCCAGCGTATCAACCAAACCACACAGCTTGGTGTCATCGGCAAACTTGCTGAGGGCACACGCAATCCCAATGTCCATGTCAGCGACAAAGATGTTGAACAAGACCGGTCCCAACACCGATCCCCGAGGGACACCACTTGTTACTGGTCTCCAGCCGGACACTGAGCCATTAACCACAACTCTTTGTGTGTGGCCATCCAGCCAGTTCTTTATCCACTGAGTGGTCCATTCATCAAATTGACGTCTCTTTGATTTATAGACCAGAATGTCGTGTGGGACAGCGTCAAACGCTTTACACAAGTCCAGGTAGATGACATCAACTGCTTTACCCCTGTCCATCAGTTCTGTAGCCCCATCATAAAAGGCCACCAAATTGGTCAGGCAGGATTACATCAGTCTAGTCCCAATCTCACATTACTTTAAAAACCTTCACTCTACTGATTGCTATTTTTATTCTTTCAGACAATGTTCACAGATACTTCAGATGAAGCTTACTGTTGTATGTTTGATCAAGTAACCACAATGGTATCAGACTCTACAGGAGTCATAGTGTATTGTTTTATTACAGGAAGGCATGTTCTCAAACTAATGCCCTCCTTATCTGCTGGTCCTGCCTTGAAATGTCAGCCATCAGCTCTCACATACCTATCTTTTTCACCAGAGGAAATAGGGAGCAAAACAATTTTCATACAACGATAAAGGGAACTGATCAACACAGGGACTGAGAGTGAATTTTTACTGTCTTTATTTCAAAACTATATTACCTGATCTGAGAAAGTGTATAGTCTAATTTTTTCCACAGAGATGACATCATTGCTGGAACTTCACTTGTTGTTTCTAAAACACGCCACAAAACCAAAAAGAAAAAACAAAATTACAAATGCTTAAGCCAGACACATACTGAGAAAAAGTAAAATCACAAGCAAAATCATTATTATGGATACAGTTCCTGGGTTTGAAAGCCTAAACGAAACTGGAGAAGACATTCATGATTATAATTCTCAATGAAATCTGCACACAGTGTCATGGGCAAACACAAGCTAATGTAACCTAATTAACTTCTGGAAAGGGTATTCATATTTCCAAATCTCTTGAGTGCTTTTGAAAACTGTAACCTGGCAGGCAGGCCTTGAAAAGTAATGTTTTATTTTAAGGTGTCCTCAGAACTGGTAAAAAAATAAAATAAAATAATCACTTGCTATATTTGAAGTGGAGAACATTAAAGTAAAAATGAAAAGACATAAGAAGATCAATTTAGAATGTTTTTCAAGGTGCCAAGTACGAAGTATTTTGAAGAAAGTATGTTTGTGTCTAAGCTACCATTTCTATTAAACCTAGTGTGAAAAGAAAAAACAATCAGAAACGTTCCAAACATAAGTCTTAACTTGCAAGTCTTAGAACTAGGCCCACTACAATCTGATCATACAACACGTATCAACGAATTGTTAGACTTGGAAACATATAGAAGCTCAGTACCTGCTTTTAAAACCAGGAAACACTCTAACTCCACCTCAATATTCATACAAAATGGTAAGTTATTCTGCAATTATTTTAGTTAGTTTAAAAACAAGACAAAAAACATTTCACACCATAGGACTCTTCCCAGTTATATCACAGAATACCTCAAGTTGGATCCATAAAGATCATCTAGTCCAACCCCTGGCTCCTTGCAGGATCACTAGCTAAACCTAAACCATATGACTAAGAGCACTGTCCAGATGCTCCCTGAATTCTGACAGGCTTGGTCCCATGACCTCTTTCCTGGGGAGCCTGTTCCAGTGACCAACTGCTCTCTCAGTGAAGAATCTTTTCCTAACGATGTCTGAACTTCCTCTGATGCAGCTTCATTCTGTTTCCACGTCCTGTTGCTGGTCACCAGAGAGAGGAGATCGACATCTCCCCCTCCTATTTCTAAACAGTACAAATTTACAAGCATAAACCCATACCATTTGCACATTTTATTACATCTTTGTACTTTACTACCTTAGAAGTTCTGCTCAAATTTGAAATGAAAATACATGGTGTGTGCTGAAGTGAAAATATATGTCCATATATAGGTGAAGATGTTGCCTCTTCATCAAGAAGTTCACAATGGATCAGTAAGAAAAATAAACCAAAATCTCATTTTCAAGGCTTACCTTTTGTTTTCATGGCCACATATTCATTAAGAATGGTTGTCAAGTTTTTTCCACACAGGGACTGGAAAAAAAATACTGGTCTTAGAACCTTTACTTGCAACTTATATTTCATCTGCTGTACCACATTATATTTAAGCAGCTCATTAGAATACTACACCCTGCTGACACTCAGCACAGGAACTGTAATTTATGCTGGTCTCAAGCTAGGCAGAGGGCAACCTACAGAACAAAATGCCATTATGAACACAGAATCTGAAGTGCTGCATCTCATTGCACAACACTGATACAGCAGTTAGAGCTGCATGACCTCCACTCACCTTCACTGTTAAGAATAAACCCCCAAAATAAGATGATGAACTGCTGTAACAGAATAACGAGCTTGTATCATCCTGGAACACAACACGTGTTAAGATGCAAACATGAAGAGAACTTCTGTCTAATGTAAAATTCTTAAAAGTCACAAAGAATTAACTTTCCTATCATATCTACTTGTTCTGCCAGTGAGAATTTTTTCTTACGAACCCAGGTAATTTGTTTACATTTGGGTTTTCTAATTTTTGCTGGCCATGGCTCAGTTCGCCATTTCCAAATCCCAAAGTACACTAAAAAGTTGTAAATGAAGTTCAGTGGCCTGTTCTGAATAAATACATCAAAACCTTGGATCTCAGAGAAGATTTCCACAAATTTTGAACACTGTGGACAAAATCTCAGATCATATATTTAACTGATATATTAGAGGACTGAAACTGAAAACAGGAAGAAGATGCGCTCATAAACATTAAAAAGTTGATACTTAATATCTAATCCCTGTAATATGCACACTGTATTAAATCCCAATCTGTATATATTAAAAATGCAAAGTATCTAATTATCCTGTAGCAGTATGTACTTATGTACATACAGATAGATACACGCTGTATTTATGCAAACCCAAAGTTCCACATATCACGTGGGACAAAGCAGATGATAATGATCAGAGAGGAAGCTGAACTCAAACAATATTTGCCAACAAAATCTGGTACCCCAAGATAAAGCCGAGGTATCTTACCTCAATATTTAATACGTACTTGAAATGGAGTCTAGGACAGAAAAGCAATCTCTAATAAATTACAAAAGCAGCCTTGAAATCAATAAAACTCTCGAGACACCCTTCCATATATCAGCCTCAAAGCTATAAAGCAGACCAAATATAACATACTGAAACCAATTTGCATATTTTGCACTTAAATGCTTCTTAGATTAAAAACTAGAAATCAAGTAACTGCTAATACCGCAGGATGAAAAAAAAAAAACAACAACAAAACCCAGAGGACATGACCCAACTAAAAAATTTAAGCAGCATTTGAGAAACACTTGTTACACTGAGATATCTCAATTTTCCTTCCCATGGATGCAAGACGATTTAACTTTCTGCTTTGCAAACACAAACTCACCAGCAAGCAGGCTGGAATAAACCCATCCTCTGTACAGTGCTCTGCATATTCTTTCAAATCTGAGCTTTCCAAAATAAATTCACGGCAGGTAGCCAGAAGTTTTTCTTGTTGTAAATACCCTGCAAGAAATCAGATGGAAATTTTTGCTATTTTATTCATCCCTCCTGCTCAATAGGTATCAAAACATTAACATAACAGCTGCATACAGCGTTGAAATAAGATTTGTATGTTGGACAAGGATAGGGAGGTTATTTTCAAAAAAAGAAACATCTTTCAAAATATTTCTGTAATAGTTAAAACCAGAAAGAGCACAAATATATTAGTGATACCACACAGGACTTACAATCTCTTCCAGACTGGAAGTGAGGCAATATGAAAAATTTCTGATTGACCTTTAGCACAAACAATACTGTACAGACATGAAAATGAAAGCTCTTGGCTCAGGAGGCTGACAAACCAACCCTTGCACAGGCTGAACAACTCGGTGTGATAATTAAATGGAATTCTCTAACATTCTGTTAGTAAAGTGCATTGCTATGTAACAATAGCTCTCCACACATCCTCCTGTTTCAAAACAAGTAAAATGTGTGTGGTTGTTACAACAGCACGTAAGATTTATTAAAAAAAAAGCATTGTGCAAAAATTAGTAACAGCAAAATGTTTCCCCCCACTTAAGTGTAATTTTCATTTCAAATAGATGTACCAGCTGCAACCTGTGCTCTGCACACACCCCAAGACTCATAACTTCCCTTAACAGGACATACACTAAAAAGTTTACTTTTCCAAAATTCCATTCCTCAGCAAGTATGTTCTGCTTTAATCAAACTTTTTAAGACCTGCTTTAATCTTCAAATACTCTAAACATTAAAAGATAGAAATAGACCAATCTGAATGAAGGATTCTAGAACAAAGAACCACAAAGGAAAATGTCTCTTCTTTTTTGCTTGTAGCAGAACTGAACATGCAATGTTTTAAAGAGAGGATAAAATATGTGCCTAATTATACAATCCAGGATACATATACATCAGCGTATCTATTTCAGTGGAGCCCCAAAATGACCCACATCAGTTCAGGAATGCCTATAGGAAAATGCAGCATTACGTCTGTATGAAGAGAAATACCCTTCAGCAGATACAAGCATAGCTGGAAAAAGCAGATCATATTTCAGACACACAAGCCCTTGCTCCTATCTTCAACAAATACGCAAACTTGAAAGTTAAACACAGTTTGGGAATAACTACTGTGAGTTTAATCACAGTGTATGAGCTGGCCTATCTGACACAAAGCATTTGTGATACCCGTGGAAAAAGAAGGGCTGTCCTATTTAATTTTTCAAATACATTTAGCTATAAAACTCTCAAGCCACAGATTGCTGGAAGCTGAAAGGGTGTTTTGGGAAAACACAATTATATGCCAGTTTTATGCTTATAAACCATCCACTGCTGGCCAGGATGGGAGATGGGGTGTTAGGCTAGGTGAAGCTTTCATCTGTGTGTCATATTTTTGACATACTGTCAGATCTGTCGTTATCTCAGCGTTTTGTTGGGTGTCACAAAGGACTGTCCTGGTTTACGCCCAGCTGGTATAACTCATAACCACACAGCTGCTCGCTCACTCCCCCACTTCTTCCATTCCACCTCCAGGTGGGATGGAGTAAAATCTAAAGAAATAAACCCCACAGGCTGAGATAAGAACACTAAAGTATAATACAAAACTACTACTACTACTACTACTAAGGGAAATAACAAGGGAAAAGAATATAAAACTAAAAAGGGAAGGGAAAAAAACCAACAACAAAGCTGATTTACAACAAAAAATGATGCACAGTATAGTTGCTCACCACCCACTGACCGATACTCAGCCCCGACCCAAGCAGTGATCTGGGCCTTCCAGGTGACTCCCTCCAGTTTATATACTGGGTATGACGTGCTGTGGTATGAATACCCCTTTGACTAGTTTGGGTCAGGTGTCTTGTCTCTGCTCCCTTCCGGCTTCTCATGCTCCTCCTCACTAGAAGAGCATGAGACTGAAAAGTCCTTGATCAGAGTAAGCTCTACCAGGCAACAACTAAAACACTGGTGTGTTACCGGCATTGTTCTCAGACTGAAGCCAAACACAGCACTGCACCAGCTATTAAGAAAGAGAAAAATAACTGTTACAGCTGAAACCAGGACAATTGGTACAGCTTTCTTACAGTCAAGCCCAGGTAGACACTTACGTAGTGTTGCAATTTTTCTTTCTTGAACCTACTACTACAGTATTACAAGGCATGACCAAATGCTTGCATACAGGGAAAGTTGGCTCATACACCAATTTCTTGCAAAATAAGGCATTCCCAAGTTTAAAAAATGCCTAAATTAAGATCTGTGCAACTGAACCCGTGTGCACACGTCGTATAACGGCATAACAGTACACAATGTTTAATGTCACCAAAAACAAATTAAGGGCACAAAAGGCACAGTACCTTCTGAACTACCTTAAGAAATGTTATGACACATCTAACTTGTAGTACACATTCACTTTTGTATTAATTAGAAAAAGATATATTTTCTTATGTATTTTTCTAAGGGTGAGCTCATCGTATTTTAGTTTTGTTTGTTAAACCAATATTCATCAGCCTTCACAGGACCAGAAAGACTATATAGAGAGGGAAAAAAAAAAGATTAAAACAAAAAGGAAGAATTATTACACTAGGAATCCTGTTTATTCATCCAAATTCAAAGATGACTCCTAGGATGTGAATCCCTATCAGAAGACAGAAAGAGCTACAGTGAATATCCTGTTCTACAACCTTAAATGCTAAGAAGATTGATAGACATGATCCATGCACCATGCCACAACAGAAACAAAATAGGATGGATCATCCTTAGGATACTTAATATTGCTCAGTTGTATAAAGTCCCTGGTAAGCAAGTGAGCAAGGTTTTCTACCCAGACACCCGTAACTTAGCCATATTTTTAATAGAAAAGTACAGCAAGATACCTCTCTTTTATAATTTTAAGTGTTTTTTTTTAATGCACGGGGTTTCTAGCAATCTTCTGTTACTTCATAATAATAAAAACATCACACCTCTTACTAGCCTTGCTTCTCAGGACAGTAGCAAGAAATACTTAAGGTAATATTTAAAACTAAAACGTGCTAGTGGATCACTGAAGAAAAGATACAGTCTTAATGGCTTTGAATTCAAAAACGTGGACAACTGAAAACCGAATCTCAACGCAAGCTGCCAGGTAATCCTGGCAACCTGTGCCAAAAGGTGGATAGAATCACAGAATGGTTTGGGTTGGAAGGGACCTTGAAGATCATCCAGTTTCAACCTCCCTGCTATGGGTGCAGGCACCTTTCACTAGACCAGGTTGTTCCAAACCCCATCCAAACTGGCCTTGAACACTGATTCTCTGGGCAACCTGTGCCAGGGCCGCACCACCCTCACAGTAAAGAATTTCCTCCTAATATCTAATCTGAATCTCTTCTCTTCCAGTTTAAATCCATTTCTCCTTGTCCTGTCACTACATCCCTTGTAAAAATCTCTTTCCAGATTTCTTGTAGGCCCTTTTAGGCACTGGAAGCTGCTCTATGGTTTCCCCAGAGCCTTTTCGTCTCCAGGCTGAAAGACCCAGCTCTCTCAGCCTGTCTTCGTAAAAGATGTTTTGGATCACCTTGTATTCCTCCTGGAATCGCATACTTTTAACAGCTCCTTCACCAGACAGCTGTCTGTACGTGGACACCAGAGACCATCACATTCTCGTAGAGTCACAGCTGAGGAGCAGTGACCGCCGGGCGGGCTCCCCTGCTCCCGCAGCGACTCCAGAGGCCCCAAAGCCCCTCAAGACCGAGCTGCGTTTGCTTCCCGCTGGAGACTGGGCCGGAGGAGAGAGGGGGCAGCCCAGAGACCGCTGCCATGGGGCTACGCCTCGGAGACAGAAGCAACGACAATCCCGGCCTAGGAGAGCCGATCACGGTGCGGTCGAGGGTCAAGGACGCAGGGCTCCGTACTCCTGCCGCGCCGAGGGCGCTACCGGCGGCTGACAGCCCCCAGCGGAGACCCCACGGCGCGGCCGCCGACCTGCCCCCACCCCGGGAGACCCGCCGCGCCTCAGGGGGGAGAGGCGGCCTCACCCGCCCTCGCTGGCTCTATCATTCACTCACCCAGCACCAGCCGGGCCACGTCGGACGGCAGCAACATGGCCAGAGGCGGCAGCGGGAACGGGGGGAGGAGGGAGGTAGTGGGGCACAGCTCCTTGAAGGCACAGCTCAGCCGCCCCGCCACCGAGGCGAAGGCGCGGAAACTGCCTGCTAGCGCCAGCCCAGCTCCTTCCGCCGGAACTCGCTGCTGCCGCTCATTTACTTCCAGGTCCCCCCGCAGCCGCCGCTGTGTGTGCACGCTGCTCTGCTGCGCACTGCTCAGGTACACGCTGCTGGGAGGAGAGGGGGACGCGCACCGCAGCCGCGGGCGCCCCTTCCACCCAGCCGGCTCCCACTGCCCGCCACGCCGCTCGGAGGTGGGCCCGCTCCTGTCCCCCTCTTCCGACTCGCACCGGGTTGCGGCGGCGACGCGGCTCCGGCCTGAGGGGCTACTCGGCCTCCCCTTGCCTTGCCCGGGTTAAGAGCCCTCCCGGGTGGTGAGCCCAGCTCTGCCGCCCTTGGGCAGCTGAGGTGACGGGCCCGAGCTCAGCCCAGCGGCCGTCGTGCCGCTGTTTGGGGGGTGGCCGCCCCGGCTGCGGCCGCGGGGGACTCACGACTGCTGCGGGGATACCCGAGCGGGAGGTCGCCGTGCGGGAGCGGCCTGACGGCGGCCGTTAGAGTAACACCCCGTGCTCTGGCGCGGGAGCATCTCGGGGGGGGGGGGGGGGAATGCCGGGGGAGCAGTGATTTATGCACTGCTGATGTATGCCCACCTTGACCAACGTAGTCTTTACCACGAAGTGACGGTGGTCATAATGGGTAGTTGGAAAACTATGCAACTGGTGAGAGAAACAGTAGATGGATTCTGTATTAGGAGTTTATCGCTGTTGTTATTATCCCTTTAAATGCTCTTAATTACGAACTAGAGGACTAATCTCTTCCTGTTTGATACCCGGACCCTACAACCTTAAAACCCATGTTGCTACAGTTCTTGGTCCACCATTTTTCAGCCCATCGGCTTTTTAGACACTGTTAGTGTTAAAATGTTACTTCCTCCTTTCAGTTTCTCTTTCAGCAAAAGCATCAAGTTTGATTTCATTTCATCATTTAAATGAGTTCAGCTGTACTGTACAGCCAGCCTTCCTGCTTACGTTTTATTTTCATACATACCTATTAGTCAGTGTATCTCTTGATCATACTTAGTCCCAGCCAGATCTTGACTGAAGCCAAAAACAATAAATAAAAGGCAGTAGATACTTCTGGTTTTGCTTGTCTAAATGTCGGTTTTTATATTCACACTGAAGTGCACAAGACGCAGTGCTGTGTGTTGTGAATGCCCATTCTCAGTCGCTTACTGAAGCCTCAGCAGCATGTGCTTGGAGTTACTTTGAGTTTGTCTTATCTTTTTCTGACAGAGTTTCTCTTGGGTCTGCTTTAAAGGTGTAAAAGGAGAAGCATGAAAATTGTGTACAATGTCACTGTTGTGTTCTGCATCAGCATAACTAGGTAAACTAGAAATGCAGGATCTGGCTAATTCCAACCTCTGTTGAGGAAGATGAGGCATCATTTTGAGTGGCTACAGAAGAAAAAGGTTGTTTTCTCTTATGATTGATACTTGAGCATTCTTTGACATGTTGAGTCCAGAGGGATTTGGCAGTGTGGTAGTGCACGCCTATAAAAATGTGGGGTATGAGAGAGGAAGTTTTCAAAGTGCTACCTTCTGCTGGCAGCATGAGATTGACAGGTTCTGATAGCAGCTGGCTATTGAAAGTTGGTGCTGTTTGCCTGGGTGTGTTCATCTCTGTGTCATTTGAATCTTCTTAAAACGTCACTCATATTGCCTGACCAACTCTACTCTTAACACTCAGAAAAAGGGAGAAAGTCACGTGAAGGGGCTCTCTGCTGTTATTCTTTGACCATTGCTTTTGGGAATAGGTTATGTTCTTGGCATGAGATTTTTCTTCAGTCTTGTGATCAGTAAGACTAACCCAGACATGAATGAGATTTTCAGTGAAATGGTACTGCGGTTGTTTTTGATGCTGGAGGGGAGACCTTATAACAGTCTGCCAGTACCTAAAGGGGCCTACAAGAAACCCTGAGGGGGACTTTTTACATGGGCATATAATGACAGGACAAGGGGAATGGCTTTAAGCTGAACGTGGGTAGTTTTAGATTAGATAAAAGGAAGAAATTCTTCCCTGTGAGGATGCTGAGGCAGTGGCACAGGTTGCCCAGAGAAACTGTGATTGCCCCATCCCTGGCAGTGTTCGAGGCCAGGCTGGATGGGGCTTGGAGCAACCTGGTCTAGTGGAAGGTGTCCCTGCCCATGGCAGGGGTTGGAACCAGAAGATCTTTAAGGTCCCTTCCAAGTGAAAGCATTCTGTAATTTTAAATATATCACATTGCCATTTTTTTTTGACTCGTTGACTTGGCTCTGTATAAAATAATTACTGTTTTATCCTTTCCTTATCTTTGCAGATACAAATGACCCTTCTGTTAAACTGAACCATGAGTCTTGCATTACACAATCTGCTTGTTTGTTGTCGTCGTCTTGAAAATGAGAAAGCTGTGGAGCGAAGGGTAACAAGTTTTCTTCTGGTGTGTGTGCCTCAATTAGCAATGAAGGGAATAATTAATAATTCTTTTTCTTGAAATACATTTCCAGAAGGAAATTGAAAATTTCAAGCGACTTCTCTGTGATTCTGAAACAGTTCTCCAGCTGGACCGGAATTCTGATTCTAAACAAGGAAAGCAGCTCAACTGGGATGCTGTATTTAGGTAGTTTCCTTTGGATTTTTTTCCTTTGTTAATGGTTGCAGTTTTCTTATTTGAAACATCATTCTTTTGTTTACTGGGCCTCTTTTAATGCTGATCTTTCTACAGGTTGATTTAGCCTTCTTGTCAGCTTGTAAACAAGAAGTGACTTGTTAGTCTCTGAAAGAAGTGAATTTAAAATAGCCAAAATGAAACACATGCAGAAAACTTAACTGCTAGGAAACTAATCATTAATTAAGTGGTTGTTTTTTCTTGCAAAAAATAATCGTTGCTTTCTTTTATTGAAAATTATCCTCTGCATCTGAATTTCAATGTGTAATTCATATGTAGATTGTAGATAGCTCATTAGAATGTTTTGTGTTCCTGAGTTCTTCAAGATACAGTAGAAGGAGCGTGGCTTGTGAATTAAAGAAGCTGGAATGAGGTTTATAGAGGCCCTTTTCTTATATAATCTGCTTTAGGTGTACTGTGAGACTGGTCTGAGCATTTGTGCAATCTGTTCTTAGAGCAAGTGGGCCCAGTGTTAAATTTCATGTTAAAAGTGCTTCTGAAATGTTAGCTTTCATAGGCTGGTGTCTGGTCAGCTTTCCATTATGTTTTTAATTGCTTAGCATTGGAGTAGTTCTTGTTTCATAGCTGTACCAGTAATACCACAAAAGGTATTTGATAAATTTTATATGTTTCTTTTGAGATGGCCAGAAATACATTAGAAATGCATAGGAGGAATACAGAAATACAGATTCTGAATAGGAGGCCAGAAAATTGACGGTAATTGCTAGTGACAAAGCCAGTGAAAAGTTTAATCTAGTTTTAGATCTAAAATGTAATCATGTTAATTTTTAACAATAGTGAAATAGGACTTGGAAGGTTTTCCCCAGTAAAAACAGTGAAGAATACTTCTTACTGTTTTGTTGTACAATGTTGCAGCTTAAATAGAAAGACTTGTCATTGTTTTTTTTTTCCCTAATTATAAATTGTATGTTTAGCATTATACAAAGTTTAAAGGAAAATTTGGTTTCTATCTAAGGTGCTTCTGGATTATTTTAGAATTTACAGGTCCTTTAATACAATTATTTCTGTCATTCTAAAACTGTAATATATTCCAGTTGGTTTTAGTCTTTGATATTTAGAATTGTGAGAAGAACAAGCACTGACAATCTAGGCTAAAACTGTAATTACCTATTTTGCTTTAGTCATAAATGTGCAGATACTTAATCTTTTATTTTTGAAGTGTCTTGCAGAAGTATTTCCAGAAAGAAATGAAAAACCTGCAGCAGACAAAACCAAATGCATCTACTTCAACCCAAACTACCAGACAGAAAAAAGTGCAAGAAGTTGGAAGCTTGGTCAAATATTTAATCAGATGTGCTAATAAAAGTCAGTAACATCTGTTCATATGGAATTACTGTTTTGTTTTGGTGTTTTGTTTTCAACTTTGAGTTTTTACTCTGATGTAAGTTACCAGGGTAGGGTTCATCTTGCTCACTTCCAGGTGTTCACAATTTAAATATCTTGATGTGAATCAGTCCTTTGTGCTCTTTCTCTGTCCTTGTTGATGTTCACAGTGCCTTTTTCTAATTATTCAATGGGTATGTGAGTGTTGTGTCCTCTCATAAGTAATTTATTTCTTAGAAACTATTTAAGCTGATTCCTAAGAGAACTGTTTCTGAACTGTTGAGGTTTTTTCTTTTAATTATTATTTTAAAATAAACATTTACAAGTAATTTATTTGCTACACTTATTTTTTACTTAATTTGGTACTCAGATTTATTTGGTACACTTTGGGTTAATTACAGTCTCACGTTCTTTCTTCATGTAGGAGGACCCAGGCTGAAATGTCAGGAACTTCTGATTTATGTGCTGGAAATTATAAGAGATCCAACAAGTTGTGCTGCATGTGGATCTGATTGTAGTAGTATACTCCTTAAAGATATTCTCTCAGTAAGGAAATATTGGTCTGAGATATCCCAGAAGCAGTGGTCAGGTAACATTTTTAAGCCTACAACCAATGTCTTGCCATTATAAAAGCATGATTAGGTACATTGTGGTTTTTTTATGCCCTGTTGTGTGAGATGCTACACAAAAAGTGGACTAAAAAAGTGTCAGCCTTGTAAGCTTACAGTTGAATTAAAGCTTAGAAACTTAGGAACTAAAGATTAGGAATTGTTTTTTTTTTTTCTTTTTTCATGCTGTTTGCCTATTGCTTGCTGGAAGCATATGTACTCATATAGAATCAGGTTCTATATGAGTTAATATATAAACACATGGTCTCCACAGGGCTTAATATGTGTAACAAATACATGGAATGTGTGCGCTGCAAATACCCTCAATAAAACTTTACTGATGTGCTCCTGTTCACAAGTAATTAGGTAGTAGCTAGTGTAGTTTTGATAAAGTATTACTATTAAATTTTATTATCAGAGTTTTGTTG